TCTCGTATATACATTTCGTTCTCTTGTCACATTGAACTCTGTCCTGAGGCTATCATTAGGGAACTCTTAGTACTTTTAAGTAATGGAGCAAGGTTACATTGAACAAGTCTTGCATCTATTTTTGATACACGAATGGTTCCTCTACCACACTATAAACTCAGGACCGAAATAAACATGTGATTTAAATTCATTAAAATACAAAGTAAAAATGATACCTTCACTTATCACTTCCCCGCAGTGGCAAAGTGACAAACACGAGTGTAAACTTCTCACCATGTATCACCTCTATCTCCTCGAAGCTATCATTATTAATAAAGAAAAATAGTTCTTAATTAAGATCTCCCTCGGCGGACAAGAACGTGTACAACAGATGTGTATTTCACTATACATTTTGGAAGGCATTATGAAGAAGTGAAGAGCGTTCTTGATTAGCGTCTCCCTCGACCCGCAGCGGCGAAGTGGCGGACGTGAACGTGTGGTCGCGGGTGCTGAGCGACGCGCAGATGGCGGCCGCGACGTCCTGCAAGGGGAGACCTCAGGGAGACGTCCTGGCCTGGGATACTGCGTCCTGGACTCTGGGCGAGGACACTGGCAAGGTGAAGGATGAGGATAAAGCTTTTCAAGGAGAGATAAATAACGATTTTGAGATAATATGTATGATTTTGATAAGAAATTAGCATGGGGAAGGTTGCAATACCCTGCAATGAAGCCAGTTCATGGAAATTAAGCTTGATATTGAGGGCATCCATGTGCTGCGTTCTGTTAAGCTTTTCTCCAGATTTGTTGATAAAAAATTGTGTGATAAATTTGGTAAATGTTTATTCCTTTATTTTGAATTAGGTTACTCAGAAATACAGAAATAGTAACCATTTTTTTTAGAAAGAAAGAAAGTTAAGCTTTATATCATGACACATTTCTCTCTCAGAAAGGGGGAATTTTTTATCCGTATTTGCAATCCAGACTTTTGTGAAGAAAACGAAGGAGAACAGCCGTTTTGACAGATGGTTTATCACATTTACTAACTCTTTCCCTCCGGCAGACATTTTTGCCCTTAGAAGAAACCTGCGACATCAAGCCCTTACCTTATTTCCTGTTCACGGAAAAGCTGAAGTTCAGCGACGCCTCCAGCCTGTGTCGGGCTTTCGGGGGGGAGCTAGCCACACCCATGAGCCCAGAGGAACAGGAGGTGTGTGGGTGTGGCCTTTTGGTGTGTGTTTACGCTCGTCTTTTTGTACGTTTTTTATATATTCTAGATGTGTTTATGTATATATTTACGCTTGTGTATGTGTAATGATATGTGTGTATACAGAAGGTGTGGGGGGTGAGGGAATATTTAAAGTTTCTTGAGTCATAAGTTTCGTGAGATATTCGTAATAGTTTATATTTTTTTGTGTGTGTGATTGTAGTAAAATTATTGCAAGTCCGAAATACATTTGATAGCTCTTGCATGAATACGGTGACGGCCAACAGGTGATACATCGGAAATTAAGTTTGGATTTTAAAAACTTGTAGCCATTATTTTCTTTATTTTTTTATTTTTTTATTTTTTTTCTTACTTATGTTTTACTGAAATTTGCTGCCTTCAACACTACATGAATGTGTATATATAAAATAAAGGCGAATCGGAGGAGCCCAGAAGAGGTGAGTTGCTAGCATTTTTTGGAAAGAAATTTTAGAACCTAGGATATAAATAAGACTGAAATCGGTATACCGGCTATCATTACTGGGATGGGCAAGAATGCTAAAAAGTTTTGCAAAACGATTTGTACATTGAGAAGAAATATTGATATTTAGTTTACACTTATGTTTTACTGAAATTTGCTGCCTTCAACACTACATGAATGTGTATATATAAAATAAAGGCGAATCGGAGGAGCCCAGAAGAGGTGAGTTGCTAGCATTTTTTGGAAAGAAATTTTAGAACCTAGGATATAAAAAGACTGAAAATCGGTATACCGGCTATCAGTTAACTGGGATGGGCAAGAATGCTAAAAAGTTTGCAAAACGATTTGTACATTGAGAAAGAAATATTGATATTTAGTTTACAGTGAAAAAAAATTAAGTGAATGATGGGTTACTGGGATGCTTTAAATTGTCAAACAGAAATAACTGGTATTCTATATATACAAAACAATGGAATATGTAAATATGAAGTCTGGCCTGAAAAAAAGAGTTATATGATTGTATTCAGTGAGCAATTTAGACCAGGGAGCCAAAGGATACTTTCTAGGGAACCACGGAGCAACATGAAAATTGAGATAGAACGCGGTTTGGACAGAAGGTGCGCATTACACCACCTGACCCTTACAGTTGTCTTTTTTACTTATTTTTCTTTATTTCTTATTTGCTATCCCCCCCCCCCTAACACACACACAAAAGCGAATTACATAGAGCCATTAGCCAGATTTGGGCACTTTTACAGGAACAGAATATCTGTAATAAAAATAACAAAAAGGAAAAAAAAACTAGAAAACCTGTTTCATTATTCCGTGAATATGGCCTAAATAAATAACATAAAAATAAATCAACTGTATACTTAAAATACCAACCGGAAACGTTGTTGGATTTGCTAGACATCTGGACAACTGTTAGAGAATCAATCAAAAAAAGGAATTTGAAAATCCACCCCAAATAAAGTCAAGAAGGAGATGTAAGTATGAATGAATGGAGGAATACCCAAGAATAATTGTTTAGAAGGAAGAAGGAATACGAAGCACAGGAATGTTGAAAAATTGCGAACAAGGACATACAATTGGGACTCCACTCGATGTGTCTATCAAAGAAATTAGCCACATGTCAAGCATTATTATCAATTTTTGTTTGTTTTTATACACAGGCGTGTTTGTACATAACTGCACTTGGGTTTTTGAGTATTTACAGTGTGGTGTTTACATCGTCTTCCCTTTACAGGATATACTGGTTTACATGATATTAATATATAATATTAGTATACATGATGGTAATGTATATTATTACCTTCACAGGAAATATTAGTATACGTGATATTAGTATGAGATATCAGGATAAAGTATTACCTTTACAAGAGGTATTGCTTACAAGATATTAGCAAAGGATATCATACTGGTATACATGATATTAGCACAAGATTATTGTTACACATGATATTAATATAAAGGACTTCTTTAACAGGAAATATTAGTACGAGTCTCTTCAGAATTCGTCTTCTTTCTCCGGTAGGTTATTTTTCACCTGGCATTGGAGAACGGAAATGAGTGCACCAAGGACGGCGGTGCCCTTATGTGGCTGGGCATCGGGGACGAAGATGAAGAGGGCGTTTGGAAGACTGACAAGGACAAGACAAAAGTCAGTGCTACCTCTGGACCTTAAAGGAGCTTTCTTTTGACTTTCTGTAAAAAAAAAAAAAAAATAAAAAAAAAAATAATGTTATAGATACATGTCTCTCTCTCTCTCTCTCTCTCTCTCTCTCTCTCTCTCTCTCTCTCTCTCTCTCTCTCTCTCTCTCTATTTATATATATATATATATATATATATATATATATATACATATATATATATATATATACGTATGTGTATATATATATATATATATATATATATATATATATATATATATATATATGTATGTATATATATATATATATATATATATATATATATATATATATATATATATATATATATATTGACACAAACACAGTAACGAATACATAAAGAAAATATCCACTGTGGTTATTTTACCTTTGCCTTATATATATATATATATATATATATATATATATATATATATATATATATATATATATACTCTCCTTTCGGTTAATCTAAATCAATTTTATAGATCACCTACTTTAACTGGGCCCAAAGACAGCCAAATGGAGATACAGTTGAAAACTGCGCTGTAATGGAGGGCAACATATTCCAGGTAAAAAAAAATATATATCTGAGTATTTCTGTCAAAAATTGCATGTCTTGTTTATAATGCGAAAAATTGGAAAAAAATGTAGTTATGTTTCACACGCCTTTTTTTTTATTTGACCCAATGCCGGATTCAGCCATAATTCATAGGTCCAATAGCATTGAAAAACTACAAAGCACAAAGCATATTAGGGAACAGCTTTCTGGCACATTAAAAACCCATAAAGATAAAGTCTGCGCAGTTCACTACACATTTTTGCATTTTGGTTTATCACTTAGAACACTATGACGCAAATGGTATTGAAAACATACTTTGGGATGTCCTTGCTATCAGTTTGAGAATGATAACAGGCCCGAGTCACAATCTTTACATGAGTTTTTTCTCATTGGGTCCAAGGTCCAAGGCCATGTTTAAGAGAGGTGTCCAATAGATGGCCATGTCGTCTACCCACGCCCCCTGGTGTACACTACGTGGCACGAAAATAAATCATGCCATGTAGGTACATCACATGGGTAATGGCGTCACTCAACATTAAGATTATAATAATAATCATGAACACACAAAGGCTTAATCATTGCATATTTTAGACATCCTACTAATGTATTAATCACGCACTAGCGGACTCAAACGGTCTTGCTTGAAATGCTTGTGAACATCGAAAGAAATTAAAGATCGTATTTTCTAAGCTTCGTTAATGGATGAGAGATATGTCTTTACTCACATTCATATACTTGCACGTCGTTTTTCATGCTATTACCATATTAGTTTTTTGAAAAGAGTTCCTAGCATATAGATATCATTCTGTAAATATATTACTGGACCTTCTTAGTCTTTTATAACCTGAAGGCCCTCGTTTGTTCCAGGGGCGGTGGTCTGATCAGTCCTGCAGGAAGAGCTTCAAGGAATGCCCCATGTGCACCTTGGCTATGCCCGTCTTCCTTCGGTAAGTTACGAAGGCGATGAATATAGACCGCCCATGATTGAAGCTTATGTGACATTTGTATAATAGTTACTATTGGCTGTTACCACTATATTTACTGTTACTATTGTTACTACTGTTAGAACTGATACTATTACTGCTACTACCATATTTACCATAGCT